GAGAGAGAGAGAGAGAGAGAGAGAGAGTCTTAATTCAACGTGACCTACTCAAAAATGTCCTTAAACTTATTACATGACAAGAAGGATGTTTCTTGAGGCTCAAAGCATGGCATATTTCTGGGTCCAATTGCGAGCAGTAGATTCGTATCTTGAAGGGTCATTCTTGCACATATGAGCAATCTCAGGAACCAGTGGATCGTCAGGGTTTGGGTCAGTGAGCAAGGAACAAATGGATAGCAACACCTGCAGTCAATCCATGTCACACATGAGGATTTTGATATGGTACTGATGTATGTAATCTCCACTGCCTATCTAAAGACGAGAAGATTTACCTTCGAGATGGTCAGTGCTGGACTCCACTGATCCTTCAGTATGTCCAAGCAGATGTTGCCATTGCTGTTGATGTTTGGATGGAAGACTCTGGTCTTGAATGCCACCTGCATGGATTATGTAAAGGTCAGTTGTTTGAAGACTGCATGAGAAATAAAAGCTTTGATACCTTGGGAGGCTTGAATGGATAGTCTGGTGGGAAGTGGATGGTGACAATGAAGAGTCCACCTGCATAGGGGCTGTCATTAGGCCCCATAATTGTGGCTTGCCAATGGTACATGTCATCTGCCACAGGACCTGAGAAGAAGAAGGATTCAGCTGGCTGCATCAGCAGACCTCATCCAAACCTAAAGAACTCGATCGATCATTCATGAGCTGAGATTGATATGAGAGAGTACCAGCACTGCAGGAAGTTGGTGGGTCTTTCTGCAGATCCTTGAGCTCTTTGATAATTCTCCTGAAAGCCATTCGCTCACCTCGAGTGGATCGATGGATGAGAGAGAGATGTCTGATTCAACTTCACCTTGTGGCGAGGTAGAAGGAAGGCATGGGTGATATATAGGAAGGTCGGGGGCGATGAATGAGTTCTGGGCATTAGATGCTTGCGTTCGTCGACCATGGAAAGCAGGAGGGAAGGAATCACCATGATTAAGAACAGGCAAATCCTGTCAATCTGGATGGCCAAATCAACTCAGAACACAATCTTAGCAACAAGTGGACGAGTGGCGCCACCTTTGAGAGATGCTTCTTTGCTGTTCTCTGCATCCAATGGTCTCATAAAGCTTCTTAGAAAAGATGGAGAAAAAGGAGCTAAAAAGATGCAATCTCACTTACCTTTTTATCTTAACCGGTCCAAAGTCGATTCTCTCTCTCTTTGATTCCTTGGGCTTTATAGATGATAGTCGTATATGAAAGCAGTGGCTGTCATCACTGAGAACACTGCTACTGATGCCAACTTTAATAAAAGCTGTGCATCTTAAGAAAAGTAGTAGATTCATGACAAGCCAATCGAGTGCATGAAGAGAGAGACCACGATTGGTGTCTTTTTGGATTCCCAACCATTAGATCTGAATGCAAATCCGTGGAAACTCGTCAATGGAGGATTACCTAAAGGTTTGGGAAGTGATATGATGATCTTATATCACCTGCTCTATAAATATTCCTGCTGATCGTTACATGTATATATCAAACAGTGAGATAAGGATGAATAAAGCTACAGAATAGTATGTTTTAACCCATGTTGGGAACGGCCCCACCCTGTTTTGGCATCAGCATGCATGAAGCTACAGCCGAGACACTAAGAAAGGAAGGCAGAAAGGAAAAGAGAGATGACAACACAAATTTTATGGCAGCTAGAAAGAACAATAACTCCCAGATTTACATACAACTTCATGATGATCATCAAGCAAGCAGCTAAAAAGAAAGATACCAGCTGATAAAATTTATCCTCAAAGCAACAGTAAATCACGACAAACAACCTAGCTTTGACACCATTAGGCTCTGATACTTTCACGGAACTACTAGACACACATTCATCAAACTAGCAAAGTAGAAAAGTCATTGGAGTAATCAACTTACAGTACAATAAACTCAGTATACCACCTTAGCATAAGGAAAATGGATTAAACATTTACCTAAACATTAATATGAATAGGTCATCATCAGGAGGTACAAGCTTTGGAAGGTCAGTTACATATCACCACAAGTCAAAAGAAAAAGCAAATAACATGATACTCTGGGAATGCTGCTGACCAATTTGAAGGTCCCCCCAAAGGATGGCTGGCCACCATGGCCTTTTTCACAAGCTTGATTATTACAATATGGAACAACTTTTCTGTTTCTTCTTTTTCTTCTTTTGCTTGGGTGGTTGAAGCACGACCTTGATGGCCGCATCAAATACCGCCTTGACATTCTAGATCACAGCATTTTTACACCAAGCAGGGTTGCATCAGAATGATGAGAATGAATTCAAAAGATGGGTAAACACAAGGGGAGTGCATACTTGCTGAGTCTTTGAACTGCACTCTATGTACGCATCAGCACCTATTTGCTTCTGCAGCTCCTCCCCCTGGAACATTATGAGAGCCACTCTAATTATCATCGGCACTTTTACAGAGAAAATGTATAAATCAAGGTTCCATTACACAGCAGACTAATATATTTTACCTGAGCAGTACTTATGGGAGCTGCACCTGGATGATCTATAAAGAACTGCTTATCATCACGAAGATCTGCAAACAAAACCCATCACGATATGAAAAGATTATAAAACCATATAACAAGTATCAAGTAGCATTTTTAAACATAAAAGAAGTGATCAACAATTAACTCCACAAAATAAGACAAAGATTGGCTTAACATAAATATAAAGCCAAAAAATAGAAAAGCTCAAGGTGCAGCAACAAAAATTAAAACCTCATATTGCAATTGGTAGATAATGGTCCAACTGCTTTGCTTGGGAAATGTGACTTTTATTACCCATCTCTTCCTAAATTGCCAGTTGAATTCCTTTATATTTGTATAAATGAAGCAGACTTAAGTATCTGAATACGAAACCAGAAAAAGATCCCTATGTTGTACAGTGAAGACATAAACAAACTATGGCCATCCAGAATAATCATTAGAAAATATGCTAGTAGGAAACACAGCAGGAAGATCAATATAAGTCCATAATCTAGCAAAGAATCATGTACTGATGTGTCAAAAGAAAGAAGACAGAAATAGTCAATTCGGGGGAACATCAAAGATCAATAGAGAGAGAAGTAAGAAGAAAGGGTGAAAAGGCCGGTTGATCAATGAAAATTATTTCATAACTAATTAATAAAATACTCTTTTAGCAGCTGATACTGATATTTATTGATAGCAAGTGCAAGCTAGGAATTTTTGGTGCTAAAAGAAGCAGCTACTATTCTCTCAAACTAAGCCAGTTGACGACTTTTAAGTTAAAGCTAAATTGACATTTCTAATGAAACAAATATGTGCATGCTCCTTCCGTTCCTAGGATTCATAATAGTCAATGTAAATCATGATCATGCAGAAAGAGAGATAATCAGGTGGAGGCTCATTTAAGGATGGTTATCATATCATTGCAATCTAATTTCATAACATTTTTTCAGAAAGCAGTTATGGGAGAAAAAGAGATAAGTGCAGATGTGTTGATGGTATAAAAAATTAAAGCATGGATCCAAAGTTCAAAGAATTACAATGCAGAAGAATTTTACCTTTTTACCCTTAATTGTTTGCCTTGAGTATCCTTAATAATTAGAGCTCTTATCCCACAATAAAAGAATCAAATGCTGATTTCTACAAACCCATCAACAAGCACTCATCTTGCACATTAGATGAGCAATTAAACATGTTAAGGATGATCAGAGAGAGTACAGAACCAGTGTAGTCCAACTGACAGTTTGCTGGTCTAATCACTAGGCAGCAGGTGGAACTGGCTTACTGCCTAGGTTTTATACAGACAAAACATATGAAATGGTTTTGATACAAAATTTAGCTTTGCTGCATGGTTTAAGAAAATCTAGCCCGACAGCATTCTCACTAGGTCATAACATCCTTCATCTCCTCTATAGGCTTAGTTTATGATGTTGGACCAGCATGGCTTGACTTTTCAAGATGAGGACCATGTCAAAAAAGGCTTCCATATAGGGTTCAAAACTTTGCACACCTTTGCTTCCTGTTAAACCTAGCAGTGGCAAAGAAGATAAGACAATAACAAAATAAGAAAGGAAGAAAATCGAGGAGAAAGATGTAGAATAGAAGCGAAAAAATGAAGAAGAATATTCAACCTTAATGCACGACAAAGAGGACAACATAGAATTTTAACCAGTAAGTTTCTTCTTTCCTTAATGTTTCTTCAGTAAAATGATTTATATTGATACCAAAACATGATAGAACACCAGTCAGTATAGTGGTATCATCATGGTCCAACCGTCAGCCATCTATTAAAGGTTTCTGTTATTGCCATCAGGTGGGTAGTCAATCTTATTAGAGGTCAAACCATTAAACTTTTTGTCCTCTAGTCATGACTGCACCAATTCATGTTCAGTTCTTCATGATTCATTTATCTTCTAACCATACAATAGAGGATACAGTCATCAAGCTTTTCCTTGACTCATATTAACTACCACCTCAAAAACAGGAACTTAAAAGCAACTGAGCTTGAATTGTAGATGATTGCCCGCAAGAGGTAGGCTTTCAAGCCACCAAGTCAAATCGCAACACAAACGAGACATAAAGCTACAGAAACAGTATGCAAAATATCAGCTGCGATGCATACCAATCTAGTGAAATTGACCTCAAGAAAAAAAAGGGCAGCAAATGAAAGTTTACCAAGCTTTGTCCCGACAAGAATTATGGGAACACCAGGTGCATAATGCCTCAACTCAGGAATCCACTGCCAAAAAAAAAAAAAAAACAAAGAATCAGACACTCACAAATTTTACATTTTTCAGTAAAAAGAATGAAAAAAGCTTTTAATAAAGATGTATCAAGCTGGCAATCAGTCTATTACCTTCTTGGCAACATTTTCATAGCTGGCTTTACTGATGAGAGAAAAAGCAAGCAAAAAAACATCTGCACCACGGTAGCTCAAAGGTCTCAATCTATTGTAATCCTCCTGGCCTGTTTAATCAAAGCATGATATTATTACCGGGTGGCCATTCGAAGACAAAAGGGACACTGGGATAATCACACTGTAAACATCAGTAGGCAGAAGAGAGAATTTTTTTTAAGGTACCTGCAGTATCCCACAAACCTAAGTTAACTGTGTTACCATCCACCACTACATTTGCACTGAAGTTGTCAAAAACTGTTGGAACATAATCCTGCTTATAAGATGAAGTACATAAATATCTAAATTGTAACTTCCACACATTTAGAGATGTCATATACAATAACAAGTTTGTCAAGGAATGATCATCTTGAATGAAAATTGTCTCTGAAGAAGTCTTAAAACTAACGTGATGTGCCAAATTCAGGAATAGAGATTAACCAAAAAAATAACTTATGAAATGATGCATCACATTTTCACTTCCAAAAAGCTAAAAGAAATGAAATTTCAGCATGCACAGTTTAAATGCCATAATTAAGAGAATGGTATTGCCACATTTTTCCATCATGGCAAACGATGCAACATTCAACAGAAACAACCACATGCTTTTTGGATTTGAGAGAGGAAATAAAGCACCCAGTGACATAGCCGGCTACCCTCGAAATCCAGAAAAATATCAAGTTTTTTAAATGCAGTGAGGGACTGTTCTAGGTCACCTCCAGATCCTTTTTCTGATTTGCTCCATTGTCGTTCCTCGGTGAAAATATGGAAGATATTGAAACTTCTTCACGCTATGAGTGATCAGGATAAAAATCCAATATAATTAGTTCCGAAAGAACGTCCGACTTAATTAATGCTTCCCCTCTTTGTCAAATGCACTTTTCTGATCAGCAATAACAAATTTAAAAAGACCAGCAATTTTCAGATCGTCAATCTATAAATTATAGTGTCCTAGCAATTTGAGATTATTTTTCTCGCAAAGACTCCTACCAAGTGATAACAAGAGAAAGGGATGATTTTTACATATGCGTTCCATTAGACAACCTCAGTAAAGAGTGCAGTTTCCCTACACCACCAAGTTTCTCCCCCTTCCCCATTTTTAGACCGAAAAAGTATCAGAATCATCAAAGGAACAAAATCGGAAAATATCGGATTTTTCAGCACTAACCGTGGGAAAAGTGTTGCTGGTGTAGGCTATAAGCATGCAGGTCTTGCCAACAGCGCCGTCCCCCACCGTGACGCACTTTATAAACCTCGATGCGCTCATCTCCTCCTTCCCTATTCTCCAACCAAAGCACCAGGCACAGTAAAGAATAGGAAAAGGAAAAAGGAGGCCTCCCTCTCCCTCTCTTCTCCTCGGCCTCCGGCTAAGTCACCTACCGCTGCTGCTTCAGCTACACCTCCGCAACCCATCCCCCGCAGCCAAATCAAAGACGTCGGCCATTGACGAGAAGGCGGCAAAGCAGAAAGGAGCAGCGGATGCCTAACCCTAATGCGAGACAGTCCAAGAAGGGAAAAGAGCTGAATCTACAAAAGGGATCTCTTTTGCTTTCGCGCTCGAGATTGAAGGCGAGAGGCGGCGCCGAGAGAGAGGAGGCCCGGGAAATCGTGAACTTGAAGCGGTCGCCCTGCGGCCATCGCCCTGAGGCCAACTACTTCCTCCTTGACAATCCTTTTAACTTTTAAGCCCCTCTAAAGTTTCATATTTCACTAACTTTGGAACAATCCTTTCGACTCCTTTTAACTTTTAAGCCCCTTTAAAGTTTTATATTTCATCATCAGTTTCATATTTCACTAACTTTGTAACAATCCTTTTTAGTCCTTTTAACGTTTAAGCCCCTTTAAAGTTTTATATTTCATCATCAGTTTCATATGTCACTTAGAACAATCATTTTAGTCTTTTTAACTTTTAAGCCCCTCTAAAGTTTCATATTTCATCATCAGTCTCTGAGGATTCACCATCATTTTCCTGAACAATTAATATCTCGATAAATAATATTAAAATAAGAAAGAAAAAATATATTTTACTTAATAATAACGTAAGAATTTTTATAAAAGAGTTTTTACTTAATAATAACTTAAATACTTCCACGCAATCATAATAAATTTTTAGAATAATAGATAAAAAATCAAATATTAGATTAGATTAGATTTTTTTCATTTGAGGACTTAACCTTTTATAATTCTCATCTAATAAAGAGGAGAAGTTACCTATTGAATGTAATGCCCCTTATGAAGAAGGGTAAAAAGTTACTTGGTGAGGATGCAACTACTACTACTTATGATTGATGAAATTGACTCAACCCACCCATCATCATCTTTCATCTTTAATAAAGGTTAAGTTTTTAGTCTTGAAGTTTATCTATTCTTCTCTATTGTCACTTTTCTTAGATTTCTTGATGTTCACTATCTTTTTCAGATAATTTTCGAACAAATACTACGGTACCATATCCCTAACACTAAGCTACTTTATCATATTATAAATTCAGTGATCTCAATAAATTCACCATTATTTCGTTTGACTTATATCTAAAATTGTCTATAACAAGTTATCTAATCATAAATCATAATTAATTGTTAATTGATATCTATTGATTTTGTATATCATTATGTTGTAGTTATAAATAAATGATCTTATTGTAGGTCTTGTTTTTTGATACAGGAATTATGGATATATATATATATATATATATATATATATATATATATATATATATTGTTAGGATCGAAGCGACACTAAGAGGGGGGGTGAATTAGTGCAACGGTAAAGTATGATAAACTTTCGACGATTTAAACACTTACGGAAACTTCGTACGATAAAAGCAATGTTTCGTTTGAAACCGTTTCGATTGCGTTTTAACTTGAAGGCATATGTAAGAAGGAGACAAAGAAGTAGAGCATCAAAGTGAAGATGGTTTACAGTAATATAAATGACAATAAGATAAATGCAAACCAGAGAAGACGGTAGTTTATAGTGGTTCGGTCAATCGTGACCTACATCCACTCCTCTGATTCCTCTTCCGTCGAGGCCACCGGCATCCACTATCTTCCTTTACTAGGCAAAGATCAACCTCCTTCTTACACCCCTCTTACAACCTCTTACAAGTGGTTCACCCTTTTACAAAGATTTCAATGAAAAGAAAGGAGGTGAACATTCAAGCTATTGAAAATAAGACTTTTCCTAAAGCTTTTCTCAACTTCTAGCTTCTCAAAAGGTTGTATTTTCTGCTGAGAATTGAGGGGTATTTATAGGCCCCAAGAGGATTCAAATTTGGGCTCCAAAATTTAAATTCTCTTGGGTTTCCGAGGCTGGCGGTGCCACCGCTTGTCAGTGGCGGTGCCACCGCTTGTTAGTGGCGGTGCCACCGCTTGTTAGTGGCGGTGCCACCGCCTGTCAGTGTCAGACACTGACAGTGGATTGGCGGTGCCACCGCCCAGCCAAGCGGTGCCACTGCCCAGCTCTCGGGTGCTGGGCGGTGCCACCGCCTAGGCCAATTCAGCTCACTGGTTGGGCTCCAAACTTGGCCCAAACCAGTCTGAACTCGGGCCCAATTGGCCCCTACTTGGGTTATAGGATTAACACCTAATCCTAACCCTAATTAATGTGCTAACTATGATTTTAAAGACATTTTCTAAGCTATTACAAAGTCCGTAAGTCAAGACTTCTTCCGGCGAGCTTCCGGCGAACTTCCGACGGTTTTCCGATAAACTCTCGGAAACCATTCTGCGGACTCCCGGCAAGCTCCTAGACTTCACGATTTGATCTTGGCTAGTTCCAATGAGCTTCTTCGGCAAGCTCCGATCTTTTTCGGAGAGCTCCGCGAACTTCCAACGAACCTTCCGGCGAGCTTCCGAAAAACCCTTCGGCAATCTCCCTACTCATTCTCGGCTAGTTCCGGCAGCATTCCCAACGAACCTTCGGACTTCCGTCGAACTCTTGAACTCCCAACGAATCCTTCGCACTTGACTCCGATACTTTATTTCGCTTTATGTCTTCATCGTTATCATAGTTAATCCTGCACACACAAGCCAAAACTCTACTCCGATCTAGACAATTATTACAAAGCGAATTGACATTTTGTTGCCCGGCACGTCATTGGTTGGCGCTTCGTCTGATTCTTCAGCGCATCATCCTCTCTTGCGGCTTGTTGCCCAATCGGCGATTGACCTCTGCAACCCCGATATCCTTGGCGCAATTCTGCTCTTGGCCCGATGCCCGACGTCCGAAGCCTTTTGCCATCCAATATCCTAACGTGATCTCCTCCGACGCAATGTCAATTCTTCCTGTGTTAACTTGTCTAATCCTGATCGAGTATACCTGCATCACTCAAAATGCAGTTTAAATTATAAACACATGTCAAGTGGTTTCATCATCAAAATACGAGATTCAACAATCTCCCCCTTTTTGATGATGACAACCACTTGATGACGGAGTTAACCTTAGCTCCTAGAGTTTAAACAAACTCCCCCTATCAATATGGCTTATTGATAGAAACTCTTGGATTCAAGAATCCAAGCAACATATCATCATAAACTTATGCATAACATGTCATGTCATCATACTTCT